CGAAGGCACGCATATGCGCAACCATGCTGCTGCGATGGTGCGAGGCACACACGCACACGCACATGCGCCAGTGTTCAGCACTGCGATGGCTGTGCTTGGTGCGTGTGGCCTGCGATGGTGCAGCCATGTGCGCCTATTTATGGTGCTAGGGCTGCGATGGCGCCTAGGCACCCTTGGCACGCATGGTGCCCCTAGCACACCATGGTGCGCCTAGGCTTGCGATGAGCTAGCCTAGCCTAGCTAAGGCTATGCTCGTAGTTGTTGCTTGTGATTTTGTGACGCTCGGCCTCGACGCCCTAGGCTCGATATCCGATGTCTTTGTTCGTAAAACTCGACGACTCATTAAATCCTTCGGATTGATTCGTCGTCTCGGATCGGTTGTTCGATTGGGTTCGACCCGAAGGGTTCAGTTAAGATTAAGCTGTAAAATTAATTATACCTTAATATTACTGATCGAAAGCGGCCTCCACCTAGGCATTCCGATCACTTGACCTTACTAAAGAATTAGCTCTGTAATAATTCTGAACCCTCTATAAGAATAATACACTTGTTGGATGGACACCATTCCTTTCATTTTCAAGGTACTGTTCTACATTTAGCTGTTGGTCTGGAGCTAGTTTTATCGTTTGATGTAGTTAATTTGGTAATGATAAGGAATGTAATTTTCCACCATTCTTTTAGTGAGCGCTGATATGGAGTTTGAATTCCAATTAAAATCAGTTAGTAATGATAGGGATTGTAAACCTCCACCGCCTTTTCGTCAGCGATAAGAATGGTGGTGGTGGTGTGGGTGGCTGGCTAAACTTTTAGGTTTTTTCTTTTTTTTTTTCTCTTTTTTAACTAATAATATATCGACACGTGGAATTGAGGATCCACTTAACGGATTCTTGGACAGAATCTATTAAGTGGTGGTAAAATCAAATTTTTGAAATTTTTTATGTTAATTTTTTTTTTCTACCTTATAAAAAGTTTGAGAAAGCTCTTATAAATAGTGCATGGATATTTATATCCCTAAAAATGTTCTTTTACATATTTGCTCCTATTGAATTCAAAAGCGTTAAGATTGTCTCTAGAATCACCAAAATTGATTAATTATTTGTGTTTATTTCAATATTTAAAGCATCTTTTAGTCTCTCCATTTATTTTATTTTTTTTTCTATTTGGAATGTAAACACTATTTAATACAAAGTATTCTAATTAATTTCAATATATATGGAATACAAAATTTACGAAGTATATAATTGTATGAGGACTTGTTTAATATATTCAGTTCATCTCAATAAGTATTTAAAATTACCCTACAAATAGATATAATAAAATAGCATGCAAATATACATAAGGCATAAAGGTCACCAGTAATAATTCTCCTCAAAAGGTTAGTTATGCGCGTAAGAATCCCTAATTGGTGTTAAAATACTCCCTCTATTCTTTTTTTTTTTTTTTTTTTTTTTTTGGGCATCACTTCGGATTGCACGGAATTTTAGGAGAGTAATGTAATATTGTGAGTGGGTGAATAAATTATTATAGTAAAAGTAAGATGGGGACCATGAAAGAGAAAGTATGTGAGAGAGGATAGATATTTTTATTATTTAAGTGGGGACCATGGAAGAGAGAGAAATGATAAATAATTTGAATGAGGTTTAAAGTAAGAGAGGGAAATGATAAAATATATTATAAAGTTACCAAATTAAATATGGAAGTGATGCTTTTAAAAAAGGAAAAATTGAAAAAAATAATCTCACCTTTACTTGACTTGCTCAAAACGAGTCAACCTTTGCGTAATCTGGGAACAATCCCACCTTTCACCCCTATTTTCTCAAAACAAGCCTTTTCACATATGACTTGTTTAACCGATTTTTTTATTTTTTTTCCCTTTAATCTCTCTCCTCCCACCTTAACCACCACAACACACCACCTTCAATGGCAGCCCCACCCCCAGCGCTATTCCCTAGCACCTTCCACCTCGGAAACCCCGCCCTCCATCCCCGAAACCCTACCTAACTACCCCAAAACCCCAACCAGCCCAAAATACCCAACCCAGCCAGCCCAAAAACCTTATCACCTTCTTCAATTTCATAATCATTGTTAACAACAGCAACACCATTACTTTATTCTTCAATAAATTTAAATCCAAAATCCAAGCATATTCTCTTACAACCACCTGATCTCATCATTATTGAAGCATGAGACACTTAGCCATGGCAGAAGTCTCAATTTCTGGGTTGGTTTATTTGGGGTGGAGGTGGAGTTTTTGGGTTAGCTCGGGTTTTAGGAACGGGTTCGAGTAGCCATTCAGGCAAGGTAGCGCTAGGGGGGAGGGGGGAGCAAGTGGCCGTTCAGCCAGGGCGGCAGGCAAGGTTGTTAGGATCGAGATCCTACCTTGGATCGATGGGGGGTGGGGGGTGGGATCGAATCGATAGAATCAGATAGTAGGATCGTGGGATCGAATCGATAGAATCGGATAGTAGGATCGTAAGATCCTACTTAATAACAAATAATATTATATATTATGCTATAAATTGACTTAAAAACATTTCTTCTAAGGGGTTTCAATGCTAAAAGACATTGGTTTGCTTAAGAAATTTCGATCTTCATTTAGCTTTGTCTATATGGTAGTGACACAAGTTTAAATTGATAAATTATGTGCAAATTTGTCAAGAATGAGACCTTAACTATGACAATTGCAAGTTGTCAATTGATAAAATCATATTAATATCTCAGATTCGCTAATTTATTAGTGATAATTATTGAATACATTAAATTTAGGTGCATATAACCTAATGAGTAATAAAAAATATGTCAAAATAAATTAAAATCTCATATTATAGTGAAATGTTGGATAGGATGGTAGAATCGTAATAAAATCGTAGGATTGTGTTGAGATCCTACCATTCATAATTAATAGCGGAGTAGGATCGTAAGATCCTACAAACTTTAAGATCCTACCAAAGATCTGGATCGATCACACAATTTTGGATCATAAAATCGTAGGATCTTAAGATCCAGATTGGGAAACAACTATGGCGGCAGGCGGAGTGTAAAACCCCGAATTTTTATACGTATACTAATTTAAAATATTATTTTATGACGTATTTAAATAATTTGAAATGAATTATTTTATGGTAGTTCAATAATTTAAAAGGTCAATTTTAGTTAAAAAGCCACTTCTATTTATTTATTTGGTTTTGGAAATATTTTACTTTATTATTTAAAAACTTTGGGAAACTTTGAATTTATAAAGGAATTTTAAATTCAAAATACCAAGTGGAATGGGAATGGGAACCATTAAGGGTAAAAAGGGAAATTTAGTTAGGAGGATTTTGAGAGAGAGTATAAATACCCACCTTATGAGCAAATTAGACTTTGTCCAGGATGGAGAATACCCAAAGGTAAACTCTCTTTCTCTCTCCTCTTATTTTTCTTTCATCCTTAATTTCCCCCCTCTCCTTCACCTCACACTCACGGCACACACCACCAGCACCACACGGAGGCCGGCTACCACCACCGCCACAGCTGGCCGCCGCTAGCATGGAGCAGCAGCAGGAGCCGCGGGAGGTGGCGCACCGACCACCCTCCCCTCCATGCGGTTTGCGTGTTTATATATAAAAATAAAAAAAAACTCTTCTCTTTTGGTTTTAAATTAATCTAGCTTTGATTAATTATTGAATTTGGGTGTGTGTGATGATTTTATGGTGTTTTAATAATGATTAATATGCACATAATTTTCAAATTTGGTTTTGAATGAAAAAGCCCCCAATTGATTAGGTTTCTAAATTGATGTTTATTAATAGAATTTAATGGTGGTTGATTAAAACTAGTGAAATTAGTGTTTTTAAACTAAATTACAGCAAGTTTAAGAGTTTTTATAATGCTGGAATTTTAATGTAGAGGCTAGAATAAAGTTTTCTTGAAGGGATTTTAACTACCCATTAATTGGGAATAAAAGTAGATGGTTTTAATTAATTTTCAGCATGTTTTAGAAGGTTTTAAAAGTATTTTAAAGAGTGTATATTTTGCTGAAAATTTAATATAAATAGGTATTAATGTCTGTTTGTAATTTTGGGTTGTAGGAGACTACCAAGTGAATGATTTCGTATAGTCGTGGCGATTTTGAGATCATATTCGAGGTACGTTCTCATACTCGCTAATTTATTAAATGTTTAGAAGCATGCTAAGAGTTGTTTAATTAATTCCAAGTTAGTATCATGATAGGTATTGATTGGAATTGTTGGTTGGATTGATTTTGGTGATTGATTTGTGAAGCATGAATTATTTGTAGTGAATTATTGATTGGAATTAATTATGATGGTATATTGAATATGGACCACACTTTTATTATTGGAATGATTGAAGACATATTTAATTAAACTAAATGTTTAATTTGGTTTAGAATATAAAAAGGGAATTTTACTATGGTTCATATGATTTTTATTGATGCTATAAGCATGGGAATTGAACTAGTAAGTGTCTTAGTACACAGAATAAAATAAAATGCGGTGCCTAAGTGCACTTATGGTGTTCTAAACACCGAGGGATACACTAGTGGAAAAAATGACATCTGCTACAGTTCTTTTTGGGTTATTTGCTACGGTTTTAAACTGTAGAACTAGTGGGCGTAGCGAATAAGGAAAACTATTTGCTACGGTTTTGAACCGTAGCAATTTTAAGTTTTTTGCTACGGTTTTTTTAAAAACCGTAGCGTTTTTGCATTTTTTGCTACGGTTTTTTTGAAAAAATCGTAGCCTTTTACTATCTTATGCTACGGTTTTTTGTTTGAACCGTAGCAATTTTAAGTTTTTTGCTACGGTTTTTTTAAAAACCGTAGCGTTTTTGCATTTTTTGCTAGGGTTTTTTTTGAAAAAACCGTAGCTTAGCCTTTTACTATCTTATGCTACGGTTTTTTGTGTGAACCGTAGCAATAAGTGGCCTGCAAAAAATAATTTTTTTTTTTTTTTTTTTTTTTGCATTATTAAAGCTTAATAAATGATGATTGTATGACATATAGAAAAAAAAATTCATAGAATTAATCTTAATTATACAATGTAAACTTTTTACAAATAAGAGAACTTTACAAATAAGGCTTGCAGTCTATTCAACAAACGAAAACAACAACAACATCAACTTTGGACAGCAACATATGGACTTTAGACAGTTTGATCGAATACGAACACAAGCATGCTCAATCATTTCACTAGTAGAAAAAGGTAAATAGGCACTGGCCATTCAAAACCGACTTAGGGCACCACAGAGGCAGAACAGCAGCAGCACAGAAGTGGCAGCAGCATCAAAGACAGAAGCCGCATCAATGTCATGATGCATCAACTGCAATACATTGCCTAGCAAGTTGAGCAGTGAGATAGGACTCATAACCTGCAACTGCAACAATGCACCGACTTAGGGTCAAAAGTAACTATCTTATACTTTAGCATATTATAAAAGTATAAGCCACCTCTTTAAGGTCAATTATCCACTCTCAAATATATACAATAACTACTGAATACAATGATGAAGCATGCAAGTTTACAGCAGTTCAACAAAGATCATGCACACAAATACACACACACATACAAGGGGGGAGGGGAGGTAAAAAGAGAGAACTCTGATCAAATATATCAGTCATTTGTACAACCTCAAAAAGATTGGATCCCTAATAAAATGCAACATCAGATTCCAGAAAAATGAAATCAGATATCAAAATTCAGATCCACATGATAAAGAGATCAAAGAATATTGCAAATATATCCTTACTTTGGGTGTAAGGAAAATAAGAGCATTAACTCCAAAAAAGGTCAACAATGATCAAAAAGGTGATAATATTACTCATTGTCCTTTCAGCCTTGAATTGCCCCTTGCCAATGACTACATGTTCAAGCCTCGGCTAATCGGCAAGCTTGTAAAATGTAGATAATTTCAAGTACAACTCAATAGCCAAAATCAATCACTATCAATAGCAGGGGAACGAGAATCATATGCACAAAGACACCTAAACGAGCAATAATCAGATACGATCCAAGGTATTATTGACTAAAATTCACCACTAGTATAATAGAGCTCAAGAAATTCAAAGTACCTGCAACATTCCACCCTGTAGAAAGCTGTCCTAAGAAGGATAGCCATGAAATACCTGCAAAATACTTATAATCTGGTGGCCAAATACTTAAAATCAACAAGCTGGTGGGGAAAAAAAGAAAGAAAGAAATTAAAGCATTAAATGATAAGAAGGCAGAAGCAACTGAACAGAATAATTAGCAAAAGATCGGCGGCAAACTTTGAGTACGCATGAAACTAATCTCGGGGGAGATACTTTTTTTCTAATCAGAAGTGAACATATCATTTCATAAACAGAATGCTAAAACTCCTCCAAATTAGAAAGAAGTTCCCACTATTTTGTATGAGAACATGTTCATAAATATTTGCTACAGCTAGCTTAACTGCAACCAGAGTACAAGTTCATTCGTCGAATCCATTGGAGAATAAGGTGAAATCTGACTCAAAACATGACATCAATCTCATCTCTCCCCTGACAATCAAACCTCAAAAGCAGTTGCTTTAAACTTAAATCAACCAAACCTAACAAAACAGGATCTCAAAAAACAACAATAAAAACAAGGGATAGAAAAAAGGAGAGTGAATTGAGGGGGGGCTAGTCTTCAAATATAAAAACAAGGGTTTTGGTCCCTTTTTTGGGGGGCACGGTAGTTTATAAATGCTACGGGTTTTAAAAACCGTAGCATTTTGATTTAACGGATTTTACATTAACCGCAGCCTTTTCTTTGTTTTTTGAGGTAATTTCGAAATTACTAAAATATTGCTACGATTTTTATATTAACAGTAGAATATGTAGGGTGGTAAAAGATAATTTTCTACTAGTGATAGGATTTGCGGTGCTTTAAGCGCTTAAGGTGTTTCAACACCGAGTTGGTTTAAAAAGGGTTCAGCATTTAATTGTATGTGATCACTAAATATTCAAGAATTGAATTTGAATGTTTGATTACTCGGATGATTTATGTTGATTGATTGTGTTGTGGATTGGGAGTCATCACCAAGTCTAAAATAAATAAACAACGTAAAGTGAAAGAGATTACGCACCAAAACTCTTGCAACGTATATACCTCAAGTATGAACATATGGGAGGGAGTCATGTGACTTTATATTTGATCATAACTTCAACTGGGAGTACAGGACGCTGTATTTTCCTTTTATTTTTATGCGCAGGACATCCGTCACTCATAAGTGACATTTTTGCCTACCCAGTTAGCTTCTGTTGTAGTTTACATCAATTTATTTGGGGCAGGGATTTGGTGGGAAACCTGTTTGATGCGTAATCAAATTAAATAAGCAATTTATTTATTCATTAATTGTGTTTTGTGTTGTGTGTTGTATGCTTGTAAACAGGTACAACAAGGTAAGTTGTGTGATGCTAGGATGAAAGCATGTTAGTGTATAATGTTTACGCTTATGTACTCAGCATTGTTGATTGTGTGTTTGTATGTTTGTTTGGCCTTGTCTTTATCTTGACCCTACAACGAGCCATTTCTAATGGCGAGTAGTGGGGACAAAGTTAAGAGAATCTTTTCAGATGATGAAGCATATTTATGATGGGCATGAGTGAAGAGCGAATCTTGTTTAGTTTCCATAAGTATATGATGTGTTTTAGTTGCTTTGATTATTATTTATATTTGATTCTGAGACTAACACAATGTTTTAAATACTTAGTTTGGTTTTGAAAAGGGCCTACAGTGGTTCCAAGTTGTAGGTTGACTTCGTTTGACTTTGATTTAACTTTTAAGTTTGATTTGTTTGAATGGTTTTAAAGTGAAACTTCCGCTTTTTGTCTTTGATAATTGTCTTAGCCGTTATCACGGTGGCGGTAATGTCTTAGAATTTCCTATTTCGTATTTTGAAAAAAAGAGCAAAATATGTATTTTAAAGGAAAGAAATTTCTAGGTTGTTACAAAGTGGTATCAGAGCCAGGTTGAGATTTTTATTACCACCAAAGCCAAAAACGTGTTTTAAAGTATTTTGTTTTGAACTTGGCCAAGTGTTTATTTAATGAGTAATTTTAAAAAGTGAGTAGTTTTATTTTTCTTAGAGAGGTCCGAAATTTTTTTTTTTAATTTGGAGAAATTCAAAATTTTTTTATGAGGGGTGTCCGAATTTTTTTTTTTTTTCGGTTTGGCCGAAAATTATTGCCTTATTTAGGCTAATTTTCGAAAATTTTAAAATAAAAAGAGAATCATAAAAATATTTTTAGTTTATTCGTTTTGCATGAAAGCAAAGGATTAAGGTACGAATTATGTGTTAAAAGTTTTAAAAGCATGTTCGTGAGTTTGGGTAGGAAAGAATTTGGGGCATATAAGTTAGAATTATTCATGTTCTTGTATGCATTAATATTTAGGTGCATTAATATTTAGGTTGTGATGTTTGATTATGTGAATTGGATAATGTGAAAGCATGTAATTATGTGATTAGAAATAAGTAAGATTGTTTGATTAAACATTAAACCTAAATACATGCAAGAACTGTGTTATTTTATTTTTCTTTGGGAAGGGAATATTAATTCTTTTCTAAGTCTTTTTCTTTACAGGATGCTGATCTTTCCTAACAAACACTCTCAAATTGGAACACTAATTAAGAAAGACTATGAACGTCCCTTTAATTATGTTAAGAAAATATGCTTTTATTGTTCACACCTGAGTGATGTCCTAGGAGACAAGCAGTATGATCTTCCTGATCGTGTTTCAGCCATGATAGTTTACTGTCTTCCCGATGAACCCTCATATCTAGCTGTTAAAACAAAGTTTGCTGATTTCTACTTGCCTGGGGACATCCCCAATTATTCTAAATATAAAGATTATTATGGACAGTGGTACCCAGACTACAAATATTGGTTCTTACCTCGTTCGAGTTGAGAAATATCACTACGAATGCTTACATATTCCATATCCAAATTATTATTATGATAACCCAACAGGGAATAATTCCCCTTCTACTAGCAACCAATCAGAAAACACTTCCCTATCATAGGGTAATCAAGCTGGAGCAAATGGAGAGCAAGAGGAAGGAAAACTAATGGATGAGAGTAACCATACTGTTGATAGTTCCATTATGGAAATCTCAAATCCAAATCCACCCACAACCCCAGTCATTATTGACATTTCATCTGACGATGAGGAAGATGAAGAGTTTATTCAAGTAAAGCAAAATCCCAAAATCTAGAGACACCTGAACCAATGGAGGAGGAAGATGACCCTAAATTCGATCCTGGAAGCTACAAACAATCGAAAGAGAAGAAGGACAATGTTCGAAAGGACTAGATATTTGTAGTTTCATTTCTTTATAGGATTTCTAGTTTCATTTCCGCAGTTATAGCTATTTCATTTCCAGTAAAGTAATAAGTGACATGGCCACAGTGAATCAATAAACCTATTGATTTGCGTAGGTTATTTGAACTCATTTCATTTTTAGTTTCTAGTCATTTCCTTATTCAGCAATAAAATTTATATTCATTTCCTTGTCAAATGATTCATTTTACTGCCAAATAAGTCATTTCATTACCAAATCATTCATTTCATATCACTACTCCAACGAGCCATTTCTTACTCAAATATTCCAATAATTCATTTCCAAACTCTGGGGAACCATGGGAATTATTTTTTATTATTGTGATGCTTTATTAAATGTATGGTTAGTTAGCAATAAAAAATGTGGTGATCAAGCTGCAAAATTTGGGAGATTGTAATGTTGTAACCTCAATTTGGTAGCTTAAATTAAATGTGTATGTATGTCTGGTGCCACTAGTAGAAAAACATAAATGTGCACCGAAGAATGAGCACCGATTCTTGGAAACCGGTGGCCTAAAATACAAATAGCATCGGTTAACCGATGCCCCTTGATTTTTTTTATTTTTTCTACACTGCTAATACAAAGAGCACCAGTTAACCGGTGCCCCTTTATTTTTATACATTTCTAAAACACCTAATTTAATAACCACGCCTCACTCAGTCATTCTCCTTTTCCTCTTCCTTCGTTCCCCCTTTCTCCCCTCTATCACTCCACCGCCACTTCTTAGCTTCCCCACCACCATTCCTGAGCTTCCACCACCACCCCTTTCACCGCCAGCCCACTTTATCTCTCCATTTCTTCTCTTTGTCAGCTCTCGTTCTCTTTCTCCTTCGAAAATCAGCGTCAATTTTCAAACCAAATACAACCATCGCCGCCGCCGCCGCCTATTTCTTAAATAAACAATAATGGAGGTTAGAGTTTGTGGGTGCGTTTATTTCGAATCAATTGGATGTTCGTGCTTCTTCAACAACAACAAATACAAATCAATTTCGAACAAAAAAATCAGAAATTTGAGGTTAGGGTTTCTAATTTATTTAGCTTTGCGTTATATTTTTGTCGAATTACTTCTAGAATTGCAGATTATATTCGAGAATCGTTTTTCAATTCCCTAATTCAAGTTATTTAGGGTTTTGATTTCAATTAATTTTCAATTTTTGATGGTTAATTTTTTTATTATATTTGATTCTTGTATTCAACATGCAATTGAATTTGGGATGTCCATGGAGCTAATTTTGTCAAAGTTGACCAGGAGACTCTTTGATCTCATCCTTGTATCCCTTTTTCTCTTTACTCTCGATTTAATTGTTTAATTTCTTGATTTGCTTTTTTTTTCATTATTTATTGATTGGATGAAATAGTTGTTTTTTTTTTTTTGGGGGGGGGGGGGGGGTTTAACTTGAATTTTAATTTGCTTAGGGTTGATGTTATGGAAGACTTGAAAGTGTTGTGTTGTGGAAAATTTCTAAGTTGGATATTGAAATTTGACTGTGGTGGATATTGGATTATGAGCCAGCAATTTCAGTCTAGTGATTTGCCTGACTCTTGTATTCAACCTGATTGTCATTGGTTTGGTACGTTTTTTCTTACGAAATTGCTGTTATTTTTGTATGCAAATTTGATATAATTTCAATAATTATTGAATTATTAAGTTTGGGGATTTGGAAGAATTGAATCGAAGTATTTGATTGAACGTGAAATTTGTCAAATTGCATAGATGATGATTGAATTGGTTGATATAGTAGATTTGGGGTTTAAAATCAGATTATACAACTCAGTTTTATTGCGATGATCTAGGGTTTTGTTAATTTGTTTCAATAATTGCGATTGATCTAGGATTTTGTTAATTTGAGCTTTTGGAATTGTGAATATACAGAATATTTGAATTATGGGTACACGGAGTATTTGACTTGTGAGTATACAGAGTATTTGATACTTGATTCTTGAATTTCAGTAGTTTGATTTGTGGATGTAATGTGAATATTGTATTGGTTGTCATTTAATTTAATTTTTTAGGTATATATTTTTTTGGGAATATTTTGATTGACTTCTTGATTGTGGTTTTGATCAGTTTTGGGTTTCTTTTGATTGAATATGAAAATTAAATCTCATTTGGTAGTGGATAATGGTGGATTATTTCATTATATTTTGTTTCTAGTTTGTCTTCTTATATTGCCTTATTGTACCATAGTTGTTGAGTTTCTTAACAAGTATAGCTCAGGAATTAAAATTAGGTTTTGGATTGATTTTCTGAGTTGTGTTTTTGCGTTTGTCGAATGACTTGAAGCTTGAACTTGTTGCCTTGCTTCCCTGCAGTGCACCCTTGCTGCTGCTACTTTTGCTCTGCTGTAGCTGCTGCTTTTGCTCTGCCGAGATTAGGGGCAGGTGTGGCTTTAAGCCTATGTTTTTATATTAATTTATACTTGTTGCCTACAACTATGACTTTAATATCTTCTGGAAATGATGACTTTGTTTGGGAGTATTCTTGCTGAAGCCATTGACAAGATTGGGGCTAATGGTGTTATCTCTATTGAGTCGTTCTCAACCTCTGAAACTTACATAATTGTTGAAAAGGGAATGAAGGTCTGTGCTACTTCTGTATTTTACTGCCATAAATAAAAAATGTTTAGTGCACTAGTTCCATTAGAGGAGAGATAAACTGATAGCTGGCTGTTTGTACTCTGTATCTCTCTCTCTCTCTATCTCTCTCTCTTGTTTTGAAGGATATAGTTGCATACATTGAGTCATCCTTGAACTTGGTTTGATGGGAAGTCAACTAAATAATAATTTCTTTTGAGCTTATAATATGGATCAAGCACAAATTTAATTGCTTTCTGGTTCATTGGAATGTAACTTTTATCATGTACTTGATCCTTTGCTTTTTTTTTTTTTTTTTTTTTTTTTGGTTATGAAATTATACGAACTTATTAGAGTATGTTTTTATTCTCAGGAACTGTACAATAACAATATCAGGGGGCCAATACCTAGTGAGCTGGGTAATCTGACAAATTTGGTCAGTTTGGATCTCTATTTGAACAGTTTCAACGGTCCAATTCCGCCATTCCGGAGTCTGTGGGCAGGCTATCGAAGTTGTGCTTTCTGTATGTATACTAATCCCTTGCCTGACAAATTTATCCAAGGACTTTACCTTATTTACCTTTAACATTTGTATGTGTGTTGAATGTATGCATGGCCTTATTATGTGGTCCTATGCTATCTTTCTGGCTTTCTGCTAGTTGTTAATGCCAGAATGCAAGTTGATATGGCTTTCACGGCTGCTCTTGAATAATTGATTATGCCTAGCTATGGAATATTCACTGGGTATAGAAAAAGGGGTTCTCTTAATGCTTGTCAATGACTTCTTAATATGTTTTGAGCGTGTGTATTGAGAGGATATTTTGCTGTTTGTTTGTGTTTTTGTTGTTGTAGACTCTATAGAATGTTTTCATCTACGATTTTTTTTTTGATAATTGTTTTTATTTTGTGATTTGGGTTTATTCTTTTGATTTGGGTTTGTGTTATTTTTGTTGTTGATTTATTTATTGTTATGAAAAGATTGGTTAGTAATGTGGGATTTTTTTGTAAAATTTGACAGGTTACATATGGATCTGTAATCAAATTGGTGCATGAAATAACAAAATTCAGGCTACATTCAAGTTGCTTTATTCCCTAATATGGACGCTGCATTCTCTTTAGTGCTGCTGCTTCGGTACTGCTGCTGTTTAGCTACTGTGATGCTGCTTTTCTGCTACTGGGCTGCTGCTATATATATTTTTTTTCTTTTTTTTTTTCAAGTGTAAAATTACAGGTTATTAATGAAAATTATCGATTTCAAGTATATTATGTATATCTATAACAGTCTGGTGATAAATTCAGATGAAAAAAAGCTAAAAGAAAATATTTAGTGCAAAAAGTAATGAATTATATTTTTTGTAAAAGTGGGTACCTATTATTATCACCGGTTAACCGGTACCAATAACAAGTATTCCCACCGGTTCAAAACCGGTGCGAATGTTTTACATTTTAGGCATCCCCCAATTCTAGACCGGTTCAAAACCGGTGCGAATGGGGGGTTTTTAACCGGTGCGCATTTGTGTTTTTCTACTAGTGTGGAAGTTAGTAGGATGGGTGTCTAACTTGAGATCTAACCATTACCATAATTAATAAAGACCCCTCGTTTTAATTCAGGAGAAGAAAGACGGCAGGAGAAGGTAGGAACTACAATGATGGAGGAGGTGAGCTGAGTGAGGTGGTAAGGTAGTTGGCAGTGGTCGCCCAACAGTTAGCAAGGAACTCAACCAACAATGGGGATGCTCAGGGAGAGTTGTTAAAAAAGGTGGCACAAAGCAAGCCACCAACCTATCAAGGCGAATCAGACTCAACAGTGTTAGTAAATTGGTTAAGGGATTTTGAGAAACTGTTTAGGGCAATAGGATGCCCAGAAAATTCGAAAGTGAGTTGTACTAGCTATTACCTTAGGGGAGAACCTGACCTTTGGTGGTAATAAAATAAGGCTACCAATAAGGCACTACCTGGTTTTAATTGGACTATGTTTAAGGAAAAGGTTAGGGATAAGTTTTACCCTAATTTCCTACAGAAACAGAAATCTTAGGAATTTTCTAACCTAGCAATGGGAGACATGTCAGTCACTGAGTATTATACCAAGTTAATTGAGTTGTTGAGGTTTGCCAAAGAGACTGTTTCTACAGAAAAGGCGAAAGCTAGGAAGTTCGAGAGTGGATTGACTACTGATCTCCAACTGAAATTGTGTGGACAAGTGTTTGAAACCCTGGATGAAGTTTATGGTAGGTCTGCACACCTCTATGCTTTAGAGTTGAAGAAGAAAAATGAGTTGGCTGAGTTGGAAGGAAAGGAAAAGAGAAAGGAGATGGGACAAAGCTCTGGAAACCATCAAGGTAACCAGAACAATTTTAAGTAGCAGAAATACCGCCACAACAATAACAACAGTAACAACAACAATAACTTCCATGGTAACAACCGTCAAACTAGGGAAATAACAAAGGACCAAGGCATTATTACTGTAAGAGGTGTAGGAATGATCACCCTGGTAGAGACTGCGACGGTGACTTGGTTACTTGTCGTGCTTGCAACAAATTGGGCCATAGGGAGTATGAATGCTTCTCTAAGGATCCTAATCAAAACAAGCAGGGCAATAATCAAGGAGGGGCTTAAAGGAATTTTCAAGAAAGCAATAACTATGCAGGAAACAAAGGGCCACAACAAAATGGGGTGAAAAGCAACAATAATGGGAATAGTCAGGTCAAAAGTGGAGCTCCAAGAAAACTAAATGTGATAAGTAGGCACGAAGCTGATACCACGAAGTATGTTATTACTGGTACTTTTTCTATTAACTCTATTCATGTTAAAGTTTTGTTTGATTCTGGTGTAACTTTTTCTTCTATTTCAAAAGCCATTGTTTCAAAACTATCGCACTATTTGAAAACCATAGATGTTATAGATGTACACATAGTTATTCCTACGGGAGGGGTAGTGCAGTGTACCAAGACCTTTAAGGATGTGCCATTAGAGATCAAAGGAAAGGTGTTTTTGTCTAATCTCATTGAATTCAGATTGAATGACTTCAATATCATCTTGGGAATGGATTGGTTGAGCAAGTATGGTGCAGAGCTTCGTTGTTGATCACAGAAAGTACAGTTAAGTACAACAGAGGATGAATTGGTAACACATTGGAAGCATGGAGAAGCAAAGTGTCCAAGGATCATCTTTATGATGAAATTGGCTAAATACATTAAGAAGGGGCATCCATTATATTTTTTTAGTGTAAGGAACTTGGATCATGAAGAGGTAGATAAGCTAGAAAACATAAATGTGGTGAATGAGTTTCTAAATGTGTTTCCAGAGGAGATTCCAGGGATGCCACCTAAGAGAGCAATTAATTTCACAATAGAGTTGGTTCCAGGAACAACACCAATTTCCAAGGCACCATATCAAATGGCACCTGCAGAAATGAGTGAATTGAAGGAGCAACTGCAGGATTTGCTAGAAAAAGGGTACATTAGACTAAGTGCATCGCCTTGGGGAGCTCCAGTGTTGTTTGTTAAGAAGAAGGACAAAACTGTGAGATTGTATATTGACTACAAGGAGTTGAATAAGGTCACCATAAAGAACAAGTACCCATTACCAAGGATTGATGACTTATTCAACTAATTGAGGGGCGCATCTGTGTTTTCCAAGATTGATTTGAGGTCTTGATACCATCAGTTGAGGATCGCAGACGAAGATATCCCTAAGACAACATTTAGGACAAGGTATGGGCATTATGAGTTAACAGTAATGCCATTTGGATTAACGAATGCTCCAGCAATCTTTATGGACTTGATGAACAGGGTGTTCCATCCATTTATGGACAAGTTTGTTGTAGTATTCATAGATGATATACTGGTGTATTCGAAGAATAAGGAGGAACATGTGGAACATTTAAGGGCAGTTTTACAAACCTTAAGGGAGAATAAGCTTTATGCTAAGTTTACTTAGTGTGAGTTTTGGTTAGAGAAGGTAGCATTTTTGGGTCACTTTGTATTCAAGGATGGGGTAGAAGTAAATCCATCAAAGATTGAAGCAGTAAAAGGATGGCCTACGCCAAAGACAGTGTCTGACATTAGAAGTTTCTTAGGTTTAGTAGGGTATTATAAGCGCTTTGTGAAGGACTTTTCTAAGATTGCTAAGCCTATGACCTCTCTAATGAATTGAAGAAGGATAAAAAGTTTGAGTGGGACGAGAACTTTAAGGAAGAGTTTCAACTTTTGAAGCAAAAGTTGATTACAGAACCAGTGTTAACACTGCCAAATAATAGTGGAATCTATGATGTATATAGTGATGCATCCAAGAATGGTCTGAGATGTGTGATTGTGCAAAATGGAAAGGTGATTGCATATGCATCGAGACAGCTGAAACCTCATGAAGTTAACTACCCCACTTATGACTTAGAATTAGCTGCAACCATTTTTGCACTAAAGATTTAGAGGCATTACTTGTATGGGGTGAAATATAGGATCTATACAGACCACAAAGTTTTAAAGTACATCTTCACCCAAAGATATCTAAATTTGTGTCACGCCAAAGGAGATGGTTAGAATTTGAAACAGAATACGACTTAGATATACAGTATCATGAAAGGAAAGCGAACGTAGTTGCAGACGCTTTAAGTTGTAAGACCAGCCATGGACTGAACACTTGATAGTGGATGACGAGTTATGTAGAGAAATGAGCAAAATGAACTTAGAAGTAGAAGAATGGGGGAGTGCCAACAGGTATACTTGCGAATCTTAGTATTCAACCAACAACATTCGATGAGATAAGAGAAAATCAGGCAGGAGATGTGAAGTTGGATAGGATTCAATTCGTGAGAAAATAAAGCAAGAAAAAGCTACAGATTTTAAAGTTCATAAAGATGGGAGTTTTAGGTACAAGGGTAGATGGTGTATACCACAAAAATGTGAGGAATTAAAGAAGAAATTGATGGAAGAGGGGCACAATACACCATACTCAATGCACCCTAGAGGGGACAAGTTATATAAAGACTCCCTGGATGGAAGTGGGATTACATTTCGATGGACTTTGTGACTTGCCTACCAAAGTCAAAGAGTGGAAATCATACCATTTGGGTCGTGGTGGATAGACTTACCAAATCAGCAGTGTTCATACCAATGAAGGAGACCTGGAAGATGGAGAAACTTGCAAAAACTTGCATAAAAAATGTTGTGAGGTTACATGGAGTTCCAAAAGATATTGTGTCTGATAGATATTTTAGGTTTCTTTCAAAGTTCTGGAAGAGTGTTCAGGAAAACTTTGGTACAACACTAAAGATGAGTACAACATTTCACCCTGCCACAGATGGACAAACTGAGAGAACTTTCAAACCTTGGAATTTATGCTGAGAGCTTGTATTATAGACTTCCAAAGGGGATGGGAAGATAGGTTGGACTTATTTGAGTTTTCTTATAATAATAGCTACTATGCGAGCATAGGCATGGCGGCTCCATTTAAGGCATTGTATGGAAGGAAGTTTCGTAGCCCTGTATGTTGGAACGACATAAGTGAAACAATGATCTTACGGCCTCAAATGATTAAAGATACAGTCAAGCAAGTGAAGAAGATTCAAGCTAAGATTCATGCAGCACAAGACCATCAAAAGAGTTATGTAGATTTGAAGCGTAGGGAAGAGGAGTTTGAAGTTGGTGACAAAGTGTTGTTGAAGGTGTCACCAATGAAAGGTGTCACGAGATTTAGGAAGAAGGGAAACTTAGCCCAAAGTACATTGGCCCATATGAGATATTGCAGAGGATAGGCAAAGTAACCTATAGGTTGGGCTTACCTATGGAGCTAAGCAAGGTACATGATGTATTTCATGTGTCTTAGTTAAGAAGGTATGTACCTGATAATTCACATGTGCTACAACCTGAAACAATTGAGTTAGATCAAAGCTTAACTTATGAAGAAAGACCAGTCAAGATTTTTGACAGTAAAGTGCGTAGTACACGCAACAAGGAAGTTAAGATTGTTAAGGTGTTATAGTCTAACCAAGAGTATGAGGAAGCAACTTGGGAAGCTGAGATGAGATGAAAAAGAAATACCCTGAGTTATTTGAAGTATGTTAAGTTACGGGTACGTAACTCGTTTTCTTTAAGGGGGGTAGAATGCGGTAGAATTTCGCGCTTTTCCCCTATATTTCATTAATTTTAGTGCTTTTTGCACATTTTTAACGGTTATTTCGAGTGCTTTTGGTTTCAAGAAGACATTAAAGGTAAAAGTATGTCAAAAGAGTACAACAATATTACACACACTGAGGAAAAAAGTTTTCTAAAGTTGGTATTCTTGCACTCTTTGAGTGTGGATTTTGTTTTCGTTACCCATGTTTCGGGACGAAACTTCTTTTAAGGGGATAGACTGTAATACCCCGTATTTTTATACGTATATTAATTTAAAATATTATTTTATGACGTATTTAAATAATATGAAATGAATTTTTATATGGTATTTCAATAATTTAAAAGGTCTATTTTAATTAAAAACCTATTTCTATTTATTTATTTGGTTTTGGAAAAATTTTACTTTATTATTTAAAAACTTTGGGGCACTTTGGATTTATAAAGGATTTTTAAAGTCAAAATACCAAGTTAAATGGGAATGGGAATCATTAAGAGTAAAAAGGGAAATTTAGTTAGGAGGGTTTTGAGAGGGTATAAATACCCACGTTATGAGAAAATTAGACTTTGCCTAAGGTGGAGAATACCCAAAGGTAAACTCTCATTCTCTATCCTCTAATTTTTCTTTCTTCCTTAATTTTTCCCCTCTCCTTCACCTCACACCCACGGCACACATCACCACCGCTACTCGGTATATATATATATATATATATATATATATATATATATATATAGTATCTGAGGTCATCAGTCATTGAGTTAATCAGTGACTATCACCTTATCTTAATGTGTGATTATTTTGTAGATTCTCTCTCCCTCTTCTCCTTTAAATCCTTTAAAGGAATGATTATTAACTCTTCTGTAGTACTTGTATTAATGCCCCTTTCAACATAACAATTTGTTAAATGACACCTGTGTAAGCTCCAAATTTCAGTGAGTAGCTATAGTAAACAAATTCTCTTGTCTCTTTTGCAGTTATTTTTAAGGTTTATGACTCGGATGGCAATGGGAAGGTGACTTTTAATGACATTATAGAAGTGCTCAGTGATATGACTGGTTCATTCATGACTGCTGAGCAAAGAGAGGTATGGGCAGTTTTACAACTACATTCATTCTTTGCTTTTTATACAGAGTTCATGTGGTTTGATACAAATGCCATGACCTGTATAAAATTTCCAATGGTGAAAACTACTAAAGATAGTTGGCTTAATTTAACAAAACTTTTTTTTGTGTTTTATTCTTTACCAGTTACTTTTCCATTGCACGATAAATACCTATATTATACATAGCATATATAATTTTATTATTTACCAGTTACTTACCTGTTTTTTTACCAGGCCACAATTAAGTATTCATAATTAGAGATATTTGATTCCCATTCCCTATAATATTTTTCTTCCATCTTTACCATTAATTATTATTATTCTTTCATATATAAATCAAATAAAGTAATATTTTAAATATTCCTTATAAACATATATTATGGGAAACTTTCTATCCATTTTTTTTTTGACAAATCTTCTTATAAGGTATATAATCTACTATTATATTTTTTCCCCTATATTACCATTGTCCCTCTTTATATACTTAGTATATATTTAATTAAAATATTGTTTCAAATCTTTATTGTCTTTTATATTAAGAAAAACTAATTTACATGCAACAATGTAGGATCATCATCCATCAACCCAGGATCTCCACAATTTTCCTTCACTCTCCAAAACCCTTTATAAATACCCTTCAAACCCACTTTATCAAAAACACCTTATTAAAAACACAACTCCCTTTCTTTTAATCCATAAAAAAGAAAAAAAATGGCAACAAATAATGTAGTACAATTGTTGGATTTTTGGGCAAGTCCATTTGGGATGAGAGTGAGGATAGAGTTAGCTAAAAAAGGAGTGAAATATGAATACAGTGAACAAGATTTGAAGAAAAAGAGTGAATTACTACTTAAGATGAACCCGGTTCATAAAAAGATACCGGTTCTTGTTCATAATAATAAACTGGTTTGTGAGTCTCTTATAATTGTTGAATACATTGATGAAGTTTGTTCTGATAAAGCTACTTTGTTGCCTTCTGATCCTTATCGTAGGGCTCAAGCTTGTTTTTAGGCTGATTTTGTTGAGAAGAAGGTAACTCTTAAGAATTTTAACTTTTTATTCTTTTATTTTTATTAGCCCGTCTCTTGTCAAGAGGTCTGATCGAAGATTATTAATGTGTTTAAAATCAATAATTAAAGGATTTCAATTAAAAGTAGTTATGGTAATTTATAAGTGAGTATTTATTAATTCAAATGGAAAAAACAAGTAGGACATTACTGAGTCTACCTAATTATAAAATGGTGAGTTTGATTTTCACTACCACTACTCTAGCTAGTTAAAATAGGTTCATTTTGTAATAATTTATATGTTAAGTTAGATGAAGATGTATGTCCAACATTTGATCAAATGACTAACATTTGTACAGATATACGATACTGGGAGGAGAGTTTGGACCACTAAAGGCGAAGATCAAGAGGCGGCGAAGAAGGAACTCATTGAGCATTTGAAGGTATTGGAGCAAGAATTAAGGAACAAATCTTACTTTGGAGGAGATGAATTTGGGTTTGTTGATGTTGTTTTCATCCCATTCTATAGTTGGTTTCACGCCTATGAAACATTGGCCAACTTCAAGATTGAAGAATCTTGCCCAAAGATCATTGAATTGGCTAAGAGGTGCATGCAAAGGGAAAGTGTGGCTAAAGCTCTTCCTGACCAAAACAAGGTTTATGAGTTTATTTTGGAGTTAAAGAAGAGGTTTGGCATTTAGAGAAGCTGCTTTTTTTATGCTGCATTGTATGGTTTGGTGAGAGTAATAATGTAAGGCGTATATTATCGTAGGATTAATAATGTTATCTTATTGTATGGTTTGTTGAGAAGTTGGTTTTTTATGCTATATTGTTTTATGGATTAGAAGTTGAGACTGATTTATTTGAAAACATAAAGCTTATATTATCGTATGAATAATAATCTTACTCGAGTGTTTCTAAGTCTAGTGTCTCTTGTTACTCCTATGAACCCTTTTTGTCAAAAAATTTGACGCAATTTTATATTCTCTCGTCCCATAATTAAGTGTCCGTTTTAATATTTCACAAAAATTAAGAAAGTGTAAAATCACGTGGGTAAGTAGTAATGAGAATAGTTACAAAGAATAAAATTGTATTATACGGAATATTTAACTCCGTATTTTTTAGTGAATACAATAATATAAAAACATACACTAAAGTAATAATGACTAGCTCAGCATATAATTAAAATAAGTAATAAATATAATGACTAGTATACTACTATAGTATTTAACACTAACCATATATAATGATTAGATTATCTAACAAGTAGGGCTAAGCAAAATTATCCGAATCGAAAATTAAGGTACCCGTCTCAATAACCATAACAATTCGGGTACTCGATCCGATAATTTATTATCGGGTACGGTTATTGGGTATCATTTTAAAATTAACGGTTATCCGATCCGATAAGCAATTTGTTTTTCCTACTTAAATCTATTTTTCCAAAATCTAAACTCTTACTTTACATCGTAATCACTTCATAATTTAAATGTAGTAATTGTGAGCATGAGACAGGTTCCCGCACTGTTACACTATTGGTTTGGAAACCCGATAACCAATAACACTAAAAATGATATCCATTACTCGAACTTCGGGTACCCGAATTTTAGGAACGGTTATCGGGTATCCAATATGATATCCAATAATGAAAATTTAGACTTTATAATATAGTTATTATGATATCATTAAACAATAATACCACATGATCATGACCAAATGACTAATAATTACTAGGGGTGAGCAAATTGGGTAACCGGTCAAAATTTTAGGACCCGGACCCGGAATTGGTTGGGACGGGGTCCTAAATCCGGAACCGGAATTGGAATTTGTTAAACCAGGTCCTAAAATTTAGGACTTAGAATTGGAATCACCGGATACCGATTTTGGTTTCGGGGTACCCAGTTATGTATATAATGGGCGAATGGTATACATAAAACCTAAGGATCAATCATCAACATCAAACAAAAAAAATCACAAAATACAAACCCAAAAAGAGTCGCAAATTTGTAAAAATAACAATTGAATTTAAATTGAAACAATCAGTCAAAATCAAATCTAATAACAAGTCATTAACATTAAAAAATCACAAAATACAAACCCTAAACAAGTCGCAAATGCTTAATATAAAATTCACCAGGAAAATCCAGAACACAACAATTGTACATTGAAACAATCAAATCAAAATCAAAATCGAAAATGAAATAGCACTAACCGTGAAAAACTGATAGATCGAAATTCGTGAGGTTGTGTGATTTGATGAGAATGAAGAAGATTATCTCTCTCTAAAACGCGGAAGTTTGTGGAAAACTGGAAATTGTGGTGGGGGATAGCCTTATAAGGCGCAGGAAGGTTCTGGAGAATGCTGATTCGGACGTTATTTTTTTATTTACTCCTATTTTTTTTTCCGCTTCATAAAGGTGGTACCGCTAATAGCAAATAATTGAGTTTGTATTATTTTACACACACGTTAATAGTTGGTATTATTTTAAGCCAATTTTTTCTAAAAATAATCGAAAGTTGTGATTATTTTGAGAAAATGAGGCAAAGTACGAATTATTCTGAGCAATTTTTCCAAAAAAAAAAACTTTTTTTTTAAAAAAAATTGGGTTCGCATTTAAACCCACCCTAAATACGCCGCTGGCTGCAGCCTTCCCTCTCTTTCTCCTCCATTGAAGCATACTCTGAAATTCTCCATTGAAGCGGCTTCTAAGCTTTCTCCCCTCCATTGAAATAGCTTCTAAAACAAGGTAGCTTCCTTTTAATTATCGAATATCAATTTCATATTCAATTGTTTAATTCCACACTTTCGTTAATTTAATTTTCAGTATACTCAATTTAGGGTTCAGATGATTGAACTATCGTATATAATTACTCGAAGAATTTAAGGTTTGCTAATTAAGTCAAATTTGGTTGCTAAATGTGTTGCAGTCATCTGCCCATATACAGAAATGCCGCGAACAACCACAATAGAATGCCCATGTTGCCCACCATTAAGAGCCCTAAATTTCGACGTACTTGGCCTTGTTAAAGGTACTAACTTTAATTTTAATTTATGCTTAATATTACCATACAATTTATTCATTTCATGGGTGTTTTTGTTTTTTATTTTTTTTAATTTTTGTTGAATAATTTCCTTACAAAATTGTCGCCATTATTGTTCAGTAATTGAAGCTCGGAGTAAGCTAGATGGAGTTCTTAAGGTTGTAGAGAGGTGGGGTGACCCTGATTCCTCTAAAGCTATCCTCACCGTTTCTATCAATGACCGAAAATCCAACCCTGTATGTATGAGTTTTCTGTTCCTATGTTTATATTTTTGCTTATGATCTTACTTTTTTGTGTGCGTTTTTTTGTGAAGTTAGTGTATTGTGATGAGCTTGTTGTTTTGGTTTATGTACTGTGTTTGCTTAAATCTAATTTTTTGTGTTATTGCCTGACAACGTCTTCTTAATGCGTTAAAGGACTGTATATTTGTTTCATTAGCTATATTTCTTGATGAAATGGAGTTTTAGCCTCACAATGCATGTTTATCCCTGTGTGGGTTTAGAGCGTGTTCTATTCACTTAATTTATATAAGTGGAAATAATGTGAACATGAACAGGGCTTCACTGTTAGAGTACCCAAGATCGGTGTATTTGACAATTAAATCTGGAAGGATGGAGCTGTATTCAAGGGGTGTGCCGTGTCATATACTTTCTTGTCTGGTTTAACATGCTTGTATGCCTTAATTTCAAAGGAAAAGTTGTTGATTTTGTACATATTATGCTACTGCATTGTATTTATTTGATTGAAAAATCTTTTAAATATTGTTATTGATTGCTGTAGTTGCTAGCAGTTGCCAGGAAAAATGGTGCAGTAAGTTGCTTGCTTCCCATGTCAACACCAATGTAAATGGTATAATGCGTATCCTGTTTTAAGCTCATAGTTTTTGCTGCGTTGTGTACACGGTATTGTACTATTCAGATTGAAGTTTTGAGTCCGGTTACTAGAGAGTTGTGTTTTTCAATCTGCGATGATGGTGATGACACTTCTCCATTAGATGACCCGATTGCTTGATTACATTAATTTAAAAAGCGGATGGTAGAGTCATCCTCAAGGTAGGTCATTTTAACTCTCTTTGTATGACATCAGAAAATAAAAGTTTCTTTTTGGTTTTTAAATTTTGACCAGAGTTAGTAAAGGATACAGTGGGGTCACTGTGGTAGTATTAAATTAATCTCTATATGTTTTATGTGTAACTAGGTCGTGCACCTTGCTTTCTTGTGCAACTAAAGGGAAAGCAAGCTTGAGGAGAATTGAAGATTTTGATTCATACACTGGTTCTGTTTCTTTTGCTACTCTAGAAACGTGGAGTGTGTGCGGTTCTGGTGAGATTTGCTGCTCCAAAGTACATGCTGATGAAGGCTACTCTGTGTTTGGAGGGTAAGCCTTGTGTATTCAGAACTATATTTCTTAAGAAATTTAAAAATTAAGATCTTTTACTGTTTCATTTCATTTAAATAATGCTGATTTTGTGTTTAATGATATGCTTTAATTTCTGTTGTTATGTTTCTTATTAGAAAAGGCATTGAAATTAACATGTGGGACCTGGAGAAGACTAGTAAGATTTGGAGTGCAAAATCTGTAAGCAAAATAATTTTACTAATTAATTCCTTCCTGAACTGCTATGTGACCTTGTTGTGTTTCACTTTTGTCAAACAGTCATAAGTTCTAATTATTGTTGTTATGCTTTTGCAGCCCCAAGCGAATAACCTTGGAATTTTTACGCCAACTTGCTTTACATCTTTGACCTTCCTAAGCAACGATGATCATCGCAAGGTTGTGGCTGGTACCAAAAACCACCAGGTAATATTAGCTGATGGAGATTCTTGTTGTCAGTTGTATGGAGGCAAATGTGGTCCTTTTTAAGACCATGCTTTGTTTTATTAACTTCCTTAGATTTGGGAGATCCTTATATAGCCAGTTTCCTCTGAGTGGTGGGGGGGGGGGTAAGGGGGATGTGGAATTTCCTATGTCTTTTTCCCCTAACGTAGACATGTCTGAGCACATTTGTAATTACATAAGCTAAAGATTGCAATCCGCACTATTTCTTCACAAAAGGTTTTCTCTTTGTTGACTTAGGGTTTGAAATGTCTCGACTTCTTTTACTCTAGGTAAAGATGCATGAGCAATGCTCCATATCCTTTCCTAAGATCAGTCTGGGTGCATATTTGAGTAGATGGTGAGTAGCTTTAGTAATTCCCATCTAAGGATGTAAGAACTTTTTCATAGACTCAACACACGATATTGGTGCAACTGTCTTTGCTTGTTTGAGTGTCACTTTCTATCAGCCACTAGTGGTTTACTCTTGGCCATGGTTACTGCATTGCTTCATGGATATTTTTATACACTATCATTTATTTAAAGTGTTTGTACCTTGTGGAGACTACCTATTCTCATTGGGGACCTTTCGGAACGTGACCCATCAAATCTCTGGGGATATTCAGGAATTTGCAAATCAAATCCACTTATTTTAGCCTTTTTTCAGAAGTTGATCTAAGTGTTAAATTTTCCTTTTTAAGATGGTTATTCAACTCAATAAGATATTTGCCTCTGGTTACCTTACGTGATAGAAATTTTAATTTTTCTTTTAAACATGTTTTGATGTATTCGAAAAATATACGGAGTAATAGATAGTAAACTAGCCCGGTTTTTTGAATTTCCAACTGAGTAATTGTTAAAAACCCATCTACCTGAGCCCACAAGGAAGTTAAATAAGTCATATTCACTAAAATGCTTCATTAGAAAGATGTAAACATTCCCTTCATCCATTTCCACAGAAAATACAAATAGCCATTAAAACATTCTATTCTTTCTCTTCATCTTTTTTTTCTTTGTCATATTTGAGAGCTGTTATTTTTAATCAGTGACTAAAGATACAATTATATTTTAAAGATTTTAGGGAAGCATAATAGCAAGTTTACCTTTTATTTGCATTATTTGTTTACCGATATTTAGCTTATGCTCACCTTTGTCTAGATAGGTTCGCCTCTACGATACATCATCTCAAAGAAGGCCCGTGTTATCAATTGATTTTAGGGAGACACCTATTAAATCTGTTGCAGAAGATTTGGATGGACATACTATATATGTAGGAAATGGTTCTGGTGATCTGGGTTCTTTTGACATTCGTACAGGTAGTGAATTTGAATATAGAAATCATAATGTTGCCTTATGTCTGTAATGGCGGAAGGACTTTATTTGAGATGGGTAAAGAATAGGTTGTTTGTTGCTTTGCAACAAATAAAAGTAGAACATGTTTATATTACGTCATTTGATTTAGTTGATAGATTGCTCAATAGTAACACTTTTGATTTAATTAAACAAGGACAAGAAAGAAGTCATTGATCCAGACAAAATATTATATTAGTATTGCTGTTGCTTTTCTATCTTTTTGGATCATCCATGAGAATTTAATGACTTCAGAAGTCATTCTGTACAAAACCTACTTTCTAAAATGTTTTATTTTGCTTGGTTTTGTCCAGTTTGTGGCCCCAAAATTTAGGCGCAATTATCCTTTCAGCATTAATTTTTGCCCTCTCTCTGCACCTAAAAGTTTTCCCTTCAACTCTTAAATTTCAAGGTGCCAAATACCAATTATAGCTCTGCTTCATGATCCATCACAACAATGAAATTAGGAAAAGGGGCAATTTGGGGAGGGGGGGTGGTTCTTTAACTTAGCATGGGCGTTAATCCTCATCTCTTGCCTAATATGCGACTAAAGAGAAATTAGAGCAGTTTTTGCTTCATTTGATTGATATGGCCATACCGACATTACTTCTACCTATTGTTAGCCTCTTTTTTTACTTAGGCATTACTTGGTGCCATCTTTGACATTGTCAATGTTAAATGAGCTATTTGTGTATGACCTTTTGTGCCAGAATTGAGATGTGTGTGTATGGCCTTTTGTGCCAGAATTGATGTCCATCTGATGTGTTCATAGTGTACGCAGTGGCGGACCCACATGTAATCATTGTGGGTCCGGTGACACATTATTATTTTTTGAAAAAAAAACTAAAAAAAATAGATCTAGTTTCACGCCTCTCAGTCACTCTCTCTCCTCCCCAAGTCCTAGAAAGCCAGAAAACATAACCTAAACACGCTTCCTCTCTCTCTCCTCCATTGAAGCGTCAAGCATACTCAAAAATCTCCATTAAAGGGGCTTCTGAGCTTTCTCTCCTCCACTGAAGCAGTCTCAAAGGTTAGATCTTCTTTTTCTGTAATCATTGACCTAATTTAATTAATTAATTGTCAGATTTATTACTATATACTCAATTTAGGGTTTTTCGAAGTTTGATAATTGTGGTTTGATAATTGAGTCAATTTTGGTTGCTATTTGCTAATGTGTTGCAGGGTTTGGTTTGTGGAGCGTAGCGACTCGAAATTCTCCATTGAAGCGGGCAAGCGGCTTCTGACTTTCTGAGCTTTCGCTCCTCCATTGAAGCAGCCTACTTTGAGGTTAGATCTTGATAATCTAGTGACTAGTGTAGTAGTGCTATTGTGTAATTTGTTTTGTGTTAACCGTGTATTTAATTGTCAGAGTCAGTATATACCCAATTTAGGGAATTAGGGTGGTTTCGGTGGTGGTGCCGGAGGGGGTGGCTGTCGAGGCTGAACTGGGGCCTGGTCGCCTGGGGAGTGGCTATCGGTCTCACGGAGTCACGGCCTTGTACAATTATAATTTGGTTTTTCTTTGTAAAATTCTACCTTCTTAAATCTTGGTGATGATTCAGTATTCTCATGTCCTGATGAGTTCAACCTTCTAGATTTAAGTTAAGACATTAATCTCCTAGAATGTATGTAGGCGAAGCTGGATTTTAACAATAGGATGCATTTTTATGTAGTGAAGTCCATTAGCTATTTCCTTGTTGAAAAGCAAATCATTTGGGAATCACTGGTGCTATAATAATCAAAATGCTACTGATATTCTAAACTCTGAAATTTGAATACACCATGCTGTATGTCGAATAGCAACCATGAACTGATGTGTAATTTATCTATGACATGAATGTTGTTATTTGGAGTTGAGCACACTGTTGGAGGCTGCAAATTTTTTTTGCTTCTCACGTCACCAATCTCACTTGGAATTAGGCTCGTGAGAGCGTTCTGTTGCAAATCAAGAGACACCAAATTCTTAAGTTTGCCTATCTTAGATGGGACACATCCATTCAACAGGCAATAAGTAATGGCTAGAACTTTCGATTTAATAATGTTGCCAATACTTTTGGGGATATTTCCTGGAAGCAAGTTGTCCCCTATTCTAAGAACCTCCCATTTAGGAAGAAAACTGAGCTCTAATTAGTTTAATATGGCTAATGTTATCTTTAGTGCTTCTCCTATTTACTTTTGATTATATCTTATTTACTTTTGTATTTTTTTTCTTTACTTTAAAATATATAATGTATAAAGAAACTAAAAATGACTCTATAATAGCCTACTAGCTCAATTGTTAGAGCATTGTGCAAGTGCACAAAAAATGTGGGTTCAAATCCTACGTAGGTTAACGCTTCGAACCATTAGATTATAGATACACTTTTGATATTTTTATTATTATTACTTTTGTGTTTTTCTAATTTACTCTTGGGCAAGTATTATTTACTTTTGAAATAAGGAAACGACAAATGCTATATCATATATATGTACATCAAATTGGAACTCTTGGAGGGCCATGGAGGCAGTTCATATTGACTCTAGTATACTTTGAGTACAAGAAAATTTTCAAATCCCTCAAAAATTGTACTACGTATACTCTATAGATGTTTTGATATACTTTGATATTTTTTTATTTACTTTTGAGATTTTTTTTAAAAAAATTTGAATGTTAAATATACTCTACTCTACTTAGGGGTGTTCAGATCCGGGTAGTTGATAAGTCGGCCCGTGTTATTGAATTATATGTGGTCACGTTGGTGACACACTATCCGTTAAATCCTGGATCCGCCACTGAGTGTACGGTAAAATTTCTATAGATGTAAATATTTATTAAACCACAATATGTTGTTACGTATTGCAGTTTTCAAATTTTCATAAAGTATTGAATATACATCGGTTTTTGTGTGTGTGTGTGTGTGTGTGTGTGTGTGTGTGTGTGTGTGTGTGTAACAGGACTCAAACATGAAAAGTGTGTTATTCTTTCAAAAACTGCGAAGGTTTTTGTAACACCAACTGTGATAATATTTTGGGATGAAAAAAAACTATTTGCTGCATCATTAATGGTCACTCTTATAATGTAAAACTTTCTTATATAGCATATAGGCTGATAATCTCTTGGACTCTTCATCAAAAAGATAATCTCTTGGACTCTATTTTATGATTTTATCCCTTTGTATAAGCTTCGTGTATGTGGGCTTTGCTATGCTTGTGTAAGTGGAATATATAAAGTGCAACATCGGTCAGTCTCTAATTATTTACATTCTGTGCCATAGGCGGTGTTGACGCAATTGTTGTAGGAAGCTGGCTACACAAGGGAGTCTTATTTGATGCTGGATGATTTTCTGAAGGTATCATTCAAAAATATAAATCTGAGACCACGATTTGTTAGTTCAGCTTTATTGTTGTTTCTCATCTCAAAGTTGCCTCTATATTATATTTCATGTATCCCCAATTCCACATCATATCATAATAACTCGTGAATTGATGTCTTATTTCCAATGTGCTTCAAGGTGATAAGAAATTTTAGGAGTTGCTGATCAGATAATCATTTTTTAAATTGTTGGTATATGGCAACATCTAGAGTTATGCATGACAGCCTCCATGATCTTCTGTTTTATATTGTCAAAAATAGAGTGCCAAAAAAAAAACAGAAAAAAAAGAGAAACCATACAAAACTGTTTGATGGCTTGTTATTTAAGGAATTTTATGCTGATTAAACTATAAAAATTAGTCTTCTCTTAATGTATAGGCCTACCTTTGTTATGTTCTTTCTTACCATGATTAAGGCAGTTAGCCCCATGCTGTTTTCAGTTTGTGCTATGTAGCCTGTCTATCATCCTTGACATTGTAAGCATCAATTCTTTTAGGGCAGCTTTAACCTCTAAAAGTAGGAAGCTTCTTTTCAAAGATATTTTGTATTGGATAATCTTTTCAAGAGTTTACTAATGAAGTTTATGTTTGATCCTTTTCTGTCCATGATAAGTTCTACTGATAACTGCTGAATATGAACTCTGAAACTTGACAAAAAGCATTCTAAATATGCATCCTCTGTTTTCTTGAGTTGGGAAGTTCTGGGAAGTACAACTTCCTCTCCGACACCTAGTGTTTGTCTTGGATAGTGCTGAACATTCCAAACACCGAGCAATGCAAAGTTGATGTATTTCCCTGTAATAGTATCTGCCCGTGTTTGCTCATGTGAAATGCAAATAGGTGGGAGCTACAAATTGATTGCTTGGAAGGAAATATAGAATAATTGGAATTTGAGTGTTACTGTTTATATGTAGTATTAATTTAAATGTTTGTGCTGATGACTTGGAAGTTTTTGTATTTGTTGTCACTTGTGAGCAGCTTTTGATGCAACTTTATAATATATTTTTGAGTTACTCCATGCTGATTTAGGTGAGTATATTTGTAAAAACATTTGTATAGATTTCTGGAGCTCGTGTTTCTTTGCATCATATGGACTGTCTTCGGTGATTTCACGAGCACCTATTTGCTATTGAATTATGTGTGATTGTACCTCTTAAACCTCTTTGCACAGTTCTTTATCCAAACCTGACAGAATTTTCTGGTCATACTCAGATTTTTGCAAATTCGGACATGAAGATGGATGTAGAGATTCCAATAGATTAAGCATGCACTTGAAAGAAGGCACTTATTAATAATCAGAAACAGATGTTGCTAGAATGTGTTGTGGAGCAACTGTGAACTTTATATTAATATGGACACACTATATCATGCAACAACAAATGGATAAGCAACCAGTCAGTGTTTCTGATTAGTTGCTTCATTGAATTGGGTTTAGATTTTTTTTCCTTTTTTAAAAAAAAGAAAATATATTGTGAAGCTGTCAATTTCTTTTTCTAGTGCGAAGTGCATCATTAATTATTAGCTAACAGCCTTCAGGCCAGTATCTTCATAGCATACACTGGGTACATGCACATTTACAGTTTCTGTCTTTAGATTATCTTATCTGATGTATCGATCATACATACACACGTCTATTTATTTTAAGATTTGCAATATTACCTTTTCTTTGCCTTCAAAGAAGTTTTACCTCAAATGAAGTACATGTCCTTACTATTCAAAAAAAAAAAAGAGTACATGTTCTTGGCCAATTTAGCCAATCTTCCATTTTCATATTTTTCTCAAGGGCAATTGATCGGATAGCTGATGTTGGTTATTTAGTTTGTATACTTGTATAGATTTTCATACTTATCACGACTATTACATTTTCAATCATGGAGGAAAAATTTGGCGAAGTACTGGTTAGAAATTTGAAAGGGTAAAATTTCAAAGCTGCTGTTATTTCACATATCAAAGGAAGCCAAAACTTCTGCTGAACTACAGCCAAACTTTGCATCTTCTCAAGTAGGTGAAGGTGCTAGTCAGCAAACAGAGCCGCAAAGCTTGCAGCTTTCAAATTAGCATATAGACAATATTCCTTTGATCAATTCCTATGCAGTGCAGTTCTAGTAACATCTACCTTAGACCACCGCTATTCTACATCCTGGTTTCTTGTAACATGCTTTCTCGTACTCAAGGTTGTTTCTCCTAAACAAGAGTTAAGTAGAGGCGATAACATGAATTAACGACAAGGTCCTTAATAATGGATGAAAAATCTACCACAAATTTTCCTAAGAGTGCTGAAGGTAGTAGTAGCAGTGGCAGCAGCGACAGCAATAGAAATATTGTAGCACCTGTGGAAATCCTGAATAACAGACTGGACGTACTTGAATAAGAAGCTGAAAACATGAAGAAGATGTTTCTTGTTTCCATGAATGAGAGGAGAAAGACTATGACTGAGATTTTGCAGCTGTTCCAGACTCTATGCAGACATTTATATCATTCAGAAGCCAAGAATCCCCTCGGTTTTCACAAGGTAAGCTACCTTAGGATGATGCAAGTGTTTATAATATTTGATATGGTTTAAAATCTGTGGAAAGTTATGAATTCATGTTGGCCTTTTATAGTTATGATAAGTTCATACAAATTTTCATAATAATGTATTTTTCTACGCGAATATATATTGGCAATTAGCGTTACCAATATTAATGAAAATTTGTGAAGGAAAGGGTAGACAAACCATGAATTATAATTTTCTTACAACGTTATACTTCTTATATAAACCCTACTTTATAAACTTGTGACAATATTGGCAATATTACTGCCTATAAAATGACCGAACAAGTCATGAGTTATATAGAGGATAATACTTCAATCTACATGAACATGACATTACCCTTCATACTCTTCATACCCCTCTGCACACAATACTAATACACAACACTGGAGCTGTATACCTACGTCCTACATGTTGAAAGATGAATACCCTGACTAATGATCATTGCGTTATTTGGTTATTATCGCAGCAGGAGACAAGGCACCAGAATATCGGTCTATTACAAGTTTTGTGTGAAGATTCCAATCCATTCCTGGTCTTGCGGAATTCTACCAAGACAAGTAGCCTTTCCTAGTTTTCTAAGAAATAGTGTGTTGAAGCTACTTGAGTCTGGATGATTTTAATATGTACTCGTCCACTTTGAGTCATTACATTATCTACTTTCTAGAACTTAGGCGTTTCAAAATCATATACTTATGTTTTCAAACTCGAGTTGATTATATGTTCCTGTCAAGTGCTTTGATCAACATCCTGCTAACGACAAATCTCAAGCATCAACTTGCAGCAAAGCGAACTATGAACTAGATCAATTATTGAAAGCAGTATTGACAAAAATATTACTCTAATGTGAATGCATGGCCGCCAAAGATTCCGTTCTGATTTCCACTGGTGAGTAATTTGCTTATTCACAATATACTCATCAAACTTTTCAAATACAACATATACCCCTGAGTCTAACAAAAAT